TCAATGCTCCCTTTAACAACATGTGAAGGAGGAAGAATCAGCTCAAATCTAACAAAATCTATAATGTTTGGAAATCACAGAGCAATTTCAACAAAGACAAACCTAATCTGATAGAATAACATGTGTGCTACTCTGTGTGAAGCAGTTCTGCTATATGATACTCAAACCAAGCTACTGATTATAGTTCTAAGCCCAGTCAAATGCAAATCCAAATTTACATGGACCAGAAAGCACACTGACTGTATTGATCCCAGAAGTGAAAGGAGGGAAGATTTATTTATTTTTTTTATGAAACAGGTGAAATTACATAACCATTTAAACCCAATAATCTTTCAATTCAACAACATCTTTCCAGTTATATTTGACTGACAGAAACTGAAATGCAGTCAATGAACCTAAAAAGATTGAAAACAGGATGTAGATGAAACAACATGTCACCTCATGTCTAAATGTGCATCCTAATGCCTCTATATGTTTGTACATGTGTTGTGACGCGTCCAAAGCCACAGCTGTGTTCCCAATGCTAAATGCTCTTTTAAGGTGAGCCTGGAGGTGGGTGCCATTACTCTTTGTAATGTGTGTGCCGGGGCGCATTTCCTTCGTGTGTTTCCTTTGATCGTCGACACGTCTGGTTATCTCCCCTCTGTGCCCTTTGCCATTATTCCAGTGCAGATGGTCACAAAAAAGGTAGATTAGTCAAATCAAACAGCCGCACGCACCTCTAAAGGCGACACCAAAGCCAATGCGAGCGGCACACGGTAATCGTTTTTTACAAGATGCTAAACTGTTCCCAACCTCAATGTTCGATCTTTGATGTTGAGGCTTTATTTTAGCGCCATGGACTCTGAGCTAGAAAAATGTTTGGTTTAAATCATAATGTCAGGATGGCAAAGCTGTAGCAGACAAACATTTATTACTTTGCCGCACTGTTTCCATTATTTTACACTTGCACAGATACGATATAAAGCTTTTAGACAACATGTATTGGCTCCACAGAATTTGGCTTTACAGAATCCAAAACATGCCTAGTAGATAGTAGAAATAGTTATGGAATAGTAGAAAAATGAAAAACATTCTTGTTGGTATGCCAAAGATGTGAAGGAGCTGGTGGGTACAAAGATATCCGCACTGTCTATGAATATAAGGTTGCAAGTATCTAGCAAACAGCCCTGACCCACTTAATTTTTGATAAATGAAAATATGTCAAACTTATGCATATGCACTTAAAGTTTTCCACAAAATGGAAATTTATTTAATACACATAAAAGTTATAAAGTGGAGTGATAAAAGCTCTCAAGTGCAAGTCCAAATTAAAACAAGCCTCTGTTGTTTACCCCTATACATCAATGTTCTCTTTGGCTCTCCTGTGCATTTTAATTTGGGTACTCAGGGCAGAGGAGCTAAGCCTGCCCTGGTTTTAAATACCTACAATATGCAAATCCCTTTAACAACTGTCTAATAGTCACATTTAAGGGAAACATCCACAAGGTTATCTGCTCCAGTGGTAGCTAATGAATATATGTTGCCAAGCGCCTGTCCCTGTACAGTGCAGTGCGTTCGGGGGCAGTGTCAGTTATGGCGGCTGATACAAGTTGTTTTTGCTGTGATCCTGTCGTAGCACCTTCACTTGTTTACAGTCAAATGTCCTCTGTGTTCACCTTCACTTCCTGTCTGTTTCGAGTGCTGCTCTACGTGCTGCACATACTCTATACTAGGGCTGAGCAATATAGAGCTACCACGGTGGTATAGGAAAATATAAATAATACCAGAAAATTGACAAGTGAAAATAACAAAGTGACTGTAAATCAAACAGAAATTGACATTATATTCATTCATTCAGAATTCTAGCCGTGGGGGACATTGACAAAACTAAAAATCTCAATATTTTGTGCATCATCTCCTTGACAATGTATTAACAGTGCATCAGGAATATGCGAAAATGTTCCTGCTAATGTCCTAATTCAGTTTCAGGTTTACCACATAACATGATGGATTATAAAATTAACCACAAAACTGTAGAAATATTGCTTTATAGTACACCCTTGGGAGATTACACTAGATGTTTTGGTCTCCATTTGAAGCCATTTTAATAGTTTTCATTAATGACAATATACTTTATATTCAGATTTTGTATAGCTCCAGAACAACAATTGCATCATTATAAATTTGACAATATATGTCCCAAATCTACAGAATTTTATACTTGAGTCTTATTCAGTCAGACATGCTTTCTGGGCTGTTCATGATCAATTCCACCAAGGTTCCCCATCATCCCGTATCCTCCTCCACTCCCCCACCTGCCATAACTGTGAACTGGACATTGTATTGATATAGCGAACACACACACAAAGCATTATTGCTACTGATATATACCTACTAGGAGATATCATGTCTTTCTTGTCATATTTTTGTGCTTACAAGTGCCTTGCGTTAGTAGTTACAGAGTGTCTGTACTTTATGAAATGCACTGACATTGCCAATGACAATAAATGCTTGAATCACATATTTAAATGGAATTATAAGATTATCAATGAAAAGCATAATAATGTTTAGCAGTATAGAAAAGAAAACATCTGGTAACATCAAAGTACCAAAAGAATTAAAAGAAAATACAAATAATAATAATAATACTAGCTTCCATTTATATAGTGCTTTCAAGACACCCAATGCGCAAATAAAATATAGTAACTGTTAACAAAAAATATGCAAATGTAATTTGTCTTTGGTTGTTTTTTAGTTATAATCATGATGATTACTGGAAAAAACAGCTTGATACACAATGATATCAAGCAGGTGATTAACATATAATTGATAATTGTTTGCCAAAGCAGTCAATTAAACGATTAAAGAAAATGATCTGAATGTGCATACCTAATGGTTTGGTTTTAAAAAGACAAAATAAAGATAAAAAGAGGAACTCCTCCACCACACTATTGTATTGTCAGCCATGTGAGCTTAGTCAGAGAGGTCACTCCAGAGGTTAATGTTAGTGGTGTGAAAATGAAAATCAACTTTTGATTGGCCGCGTCACTGTGCTCTCCCAAAGCCCGGCCCTCAGCGCACCTGCCAAGACGCGCCGCTTCCAACAAGAATGGAGCCTATTCAACAGCTGCAGGAGCGGGCAGGCAGCAGACAGTCAGCGAACAAAAGAATGCAAAACAGAGGGGACTTTCTAAATGGGAAACTCAAAATGGGAATTCTTCTAAAGGTCTTAAATCAATTGCACATAAAGTACAAACCCAAGCAATGTTAATCTAACTGGCTTAATCCCATCGCTTTAAGATCCTTTATAATCCAGATTCAATGCAGCTATTTATTCTTCTCTAACAAGCTTTCCCTATAGCCATTTTATAAATCATTGGAAGACTGCTGCCGTGCTACAGATTCTGCTCTGGTGTCATTATAACATAGAATAATAAATCATAGGGAAGCTAGGATGTCAAACAGTACGGGAACAGTTCAAAATATTGTGTTTCCTTTCAGGTAGCTCGCAGTACAACACCTGTTCAGGCAGCATAAGGAATGGCATCGCTAAGGAGGAATTCTGCTCCCACAAAAAAATCTGCAACATCATTTCATGTTTTATTTCACCTTGGTGTAGAACAAGCGCATGGTGAGTTGATGTATTTGCAGTGGAAGGAAATGTGGAGGAAAAACTGCTACTTTTTCCAGCTTTCCGCCAATATCCTTAAGTCGCCATGTGCCCTGGCTTTGAGGCTCCGCACTGCCAATTCCTCATTTGAAACCCGAACAACTCTTTAACAATGCCTTTCCCCCTGATCCAGTGGGAAGGAGAAAATCTATTATCGATTTCCACCTGGTTTAAAGGTGGAAAAAGCCCTGGTAGCGAGGCCTGAATAGAGCAGCACTGTAGCTCCAGCCTGCACATTAAATGCTGGGGGGATGGTGTGAGAGGGCATGTCAACAAAGCCCTTGACTACAGCAGCCCGATATGTGCGCACTCCGAATATTTACTTGTCAATAGACGCGCTGAAGCCCAGTAATCAAGGCCGACAGAATGCACAGAGAAGATAAGAGGGACAGTGCCACATGATTTGATTTTTCTTTCTTATCATAATTATCCATTGTTTTGATGCTGATTGTGGATGTTTTTTTTTCTTTCTTTTTTTTTTTACGAGCACGCACTACAATTAAAGATGTTGAAAATGACTTGCTGTACCTCACACGACCCCCCCAACACAAGAAAACAGCTCAATAGAGTCAGTGGATTTGAGTCATGCGGCAATCAAGTCTATGGCAGGCTAATGATGCACTTTTTAGCTAACGACGGTGTCCCTCGTGATTGCGCTATAGTGGATTTAGTGAACAACCTTCTATAAGAGGTCATGTCATGCAGTAATAGTGCTGCTGGTGTTATTTGTTTTCATTTATCTTCTGTTACCTTTTTTTCTCATTGACAATAGCCAATTTAGAGTCTCCAATATCTATGTGGTCAGAAAGCCAGAGAGAGCCTGAGTACCAACTGCAAATCCACAATAATACAGGATAGGAAAACAACAACAAAAATCCAGAGGGCTAACCAACTTGCTAATGCGCATCATGGTAAAGTTACTACATTTTTATCAGAAAAAAAACACATTAGATAAACATAGCATAAACTTCTATACTTACATCACAAAACATATATTAAACATACATTCAAATGAATTTACATGAAGTTAGATCCACAATTAGAAGTAGCTCATCTAAAATTAAAATCCAAACAATACACTGGAAATGCACCAGTACAGCCTTTTCTCCTCCGAATATAATAACCAGTCCAGCTCATTTTTCTATCTGATATCTGATACCAGTAGTAGCCTCTCTATATTAAACCACAGCCATTCATAATTTTGTCTTTGTTAGACTTAGGCAGATAGGCCAGAAAGGCAACCCCTGCATTTTTATATCGGCAGCAAGAGCACAGAAAATTAAGCAACTTAGTGACATCAGACATGATAATTTCCTCTGGCCAGGGTTAGTGACCAATTTATTCTTACCTTAGGCTGGGCGCGACGAGGGAAGGCAACCTTAGGATCAATCTGGAAATGAGAAGAGAATACGAATGTAGTGGTTAAAATAAAGCTTTAGAAAAATGCAATAAAACATTTAAAGTCAATCCCCAGAAACAATGCCGCTTGGTGATTCAGGAGTATGGTGGATTTTCTGCGTTATCTGAAAACAAAGTTGTATTGAAGTGCTAAAAGAATTATTGTAATCACAAGTTCAGATTCACATTAATGACCCGACAAAGTGGAAGGGCAAACTTAGCAAGGAGCATTTCAGATGTGAATTGGATCTGCTGCATTAGACTGGTGGCTAATCTTACATCTGTCTTCCTTTGTAGTTTCTTTAAGTCTAGACTAAAGGCTCAGCCATGGTTTCCGGATATTTCAAATGAAAGGAATCACTTAATAAAACTCTCAATATCTGACAGTTTATATTGACTTGAGATATGAACCTATGAAGCAATTAGCAAAGCAAATATTTGTAGCAAAAATAAATGTAGCTTATTTTCAGACAACCATTTGCAGAAATGTTGTGCAGTACCATTTCTCTTTAAAAAAAAAGTTGCAATTATTTCCCCACAATCACAGACATGTGCATAGACATATTATCATTATCTATAAATGGTGGCCATCTTAAAGAGGCTACACTCCACTTTTAAGGTAATGAACAGTCAATGATTCCTATTTTCCGGTCATTATCTACTAATGAAAATCTAATGAATACCATCATCCATTTATGCAAATATAAGCCAGAAAATCAAAGACACTACCACTTTAAATTTAGCTATAACCAGCTTGTATTAATTATTTTCATATTTTAGCTTAACACTGCTAAATACTCTAGTTATTATATTGTCAGTGTCTCATACAACTACACTAAATTACTTACAGCAGAAAATTATTTTCAACTGATGGAGTTCACAGACATAACACTCAAAGCAGTGGACAGTGTCCTTCAATAAACAGGATATTAATTAGCTGTAATTACTGCGTGGTGATTAGACTTCAGGCCTCATATTAGTGTCACCAAATTGTCTGCTGCTGTGACCCGTATATTTGCAAAGAGGGCAGCACTTTGGAGTCCAAAGTTGTGGAGCAGACAGAGCATGTGGGGCGGGTGGAGTCAGTGTTATTTTGGAGCGGACCGGCTGATTGGATATGACAGGGAGAAAATGAGAGTCTGAGGCGGCTGACGTCTCCAGATATTGCCAAATAACCAGGAGGATGGGTCACATCAGCCTGTTTCTCCATCTTAGGCTTGTTATCTCATTATGGCCACTTCCCCTGCTTAATTCAGCTGACATGAAGGTATGAGGCAGGAGGATCGGCAACCTTGTACTAACGTAACAATGACCGTTTCAAAAGCCATCGCCACTAAATCATCTACATCCTTTGAGACACAAAGGGAATTTTCAATTGATTAAAGCTAAAGTCACACTTCAATGCAAATAATGGCTTTGTTGACGTTTATGTAGGTGTGTGTATGTTTCATGTATACTGGCTGTATTGGTTACAGTGAGATTGCTATTAAGGAGTAATATCCATCATAATCTGTCATGCAATATTATAGAAGCCCTGAAGTCAATGTAGGCCACTCACACAGCCAGATTTCATTGTTTATCCATTATCAAGGCATAAGATAATAGTCAATACAGGGAAGAGCTAAATGTTCTATCAATCCTATTATTTTGGAAATGTCACTCATTTGGAGGTGAAAAATGCCGTATATCTCACACCTGATGAACACAATGGAAGGAAAACGAGCAGCTCCACCATCTGCACAGATCAATTAAGCCGATGAGAGCGACTCGGTTTTAATGCGTTTGAAGGGAAACCATCATGTGCAATGTCATTGTCATCTTTGGTGGCAGTCTCACTTATTACTGTTATCCTTGGGAATCAGATCAAAATGAGAAATGAATTCAATAACACCTGGCTATGGCAACCCTGCTTGTAATGAATTTCATTTAAAGATTTGTTTTAGCACTTAGCCCCAGGCATAACCAATTCAAACTCAATTATTTTGTGCGCCCTATTTGAGCAAAGACAACACAAAAGGTTTTGAATACCAACGCCCTGAGCTTGGTAACATACCTCACTGTTTAGCCAACATACTGCACATATTGTCTAAAACAATCCTACACAACATAAGCAGAAATCATGCAATGTGTAGATTTACCAAAAACAGGCTAATTTATGCTGACAATGGTGTTAAATTGGGCCCATGATAGAGCAGATTGTATAAATCACAGACGGAGCAAAGCATCCAAATTAGGCAATGAGGACTTAGTAACCAATCCTTTTGAGAAATGCTGTAGCAGCACCTTTTTAGGTCACAACTTATGATGAATGACTCCTTTGAGAAATTTTGAAATGAGGCGGGAGGGGAGAGTTGCGATTGTTCTCTGTGTTTACATATTCATGCTCATGTGATTGTGCTGCGCTCAGAGCGGCTCTCCAGGCAAACAGCTGAAGGAGCTCTTCCACTTGATGAATGTACCTGGGAACACCAGATTATGTCCTCTCCGCTTCACCTGATACTTCCTTCCTGAAACATTTTGTTATGTAACGCACATACCATCAGGTCCGGGATCAGTCAAGCGAACCTCGCGGTGGCAGGGTTCTCACTGTGGGTTGACATGTAGCCAATTGCAAATGCTAGTCCTGCTTTATCCCTGTCTGAAACTATTGAAGGAATTGGTCTCTACGGCATGTTTGCAAAGTTGTTTAACTACACACAATACATTACTTTACATGTAAGGAACATTGTCAAGTATTGTCAATCATGAATAGTTACTAAGCATGTAAAAATGTCTGTGGATTTATTAATATAATTTTTATGTAAGGAAGATATTGGCCTACAGATGCTTCCTGATATTATTTTCAATGAGAGAGTAATTTACAGCAAATTAGTTAAACTGTTCTAGTTGAAAATATTTAAATAGTCATTACTAGAGCTGCGTCAGGACTTGAGAAGCTACTTTAGATGAGTAGTAAAATGTATTCACTCTAAAAAAAAACAAAAAAGCCTCAGATCATGATAAAAAATAACAGGAAGCATCTGTAGACCAGTATCTTGCTTATATGATACACAGATAAAGAAATATGTTCTCCTGCTTATTTGTAAACTAAAATGGCTAACTGTGGTCCCATCCAGCTGTTGCAGTACAACTACCATCAAACGGACTTTTTAAATCCCCTTCAGAAGTCCCTTTATCACAGAAACATCACGGGCTGTGCACACTAAAGTCCAAACCTTGATGTGAATAAAACAAACTGCATGTGTTTGAATGAATGGATGTTTGAACCTTGTGTTTTGTGTGGCACCAGATTAATTGTCAAATAGGGAAAGCACCACTAATACACAAACAAACAGTGGAATTTCCATCTCCACTCGTCTCATTGATGTATGAAGTTGGTGCCACTGGGGACTGGAAAAAAATAGAAGTTCTTTTTTAAGTGATAATGTCTTTTGTTAATGTCTTTGTTTAAGAAAGATTTAACACATGTTTTAAAAATACTCACAAAGGGACTCCAGTCTTTTGTTGGACGATTTTACTGCCATCTGTTACAATCTACAACTGTCTGTAGAATGCACAAGGTCCTCTCCACCATCTATTTCCTTTCTTTGCGCATCTTATTGTGCCAGCTGCTTTTATGTACATCTGACTGGCAGCTTCTAATGCGCTGTTATTTGCAAAGGGCTCTGAAGCTACGACTTAAAACAATTACCTATCTCTATGAAAATCTTCCTCAACTCCACAGCCAAATTTGACAGTCAAAAACACCTCTCTCTTGGCAACAGCAAATGTACCTTTCCTGCTCCTAATTAATAACAGAAATTCAAAATTGACTCATTTGCTAAGGCATGATAGCTACCATAAATTTAAAGAAGAAGTGGGAGATGATATACTTGTACTATCTACAGTGTTTCCCATAGAGTTTATTAAGACTATGGAGACTAAAATGACTTTTATTTGAATAATTTCATCCCATTCAATTTGTGGAGTATAAATGTCAGTTACTGCCTACATTTAAAGTTTAAGATGTGTCGTTTCTTTTATAAGATTATAGTAGTAGTATATAGTACAGTAATACAATGAGCAACAAAGTCTAAATTTGTTGTGGAAATATATGTGTAGTTTACTATGGAGGATCATTTTAGACTATGAGGGGTGAGAACCAAAATCCCCTGTATTAATACTGGTCTGTAAAAAAAAGAAAGTTTGGTATATAGCCTTTAATAAGCTACAAAAGAAGGTAGTTCATTCACACTTGGCACTTAATGACATACAAGCACATTTGCTACTCTTATGTGTTGCAAAACAAAATCTATTTTAGATTATACTTTATTTATCTTGGTTTTTGATTGCATATTTCTATTCTCCTGCTGAGACACTGAGAATTTTTCCTATTGTGGCACAAATAAAAGTGTTTTTATCTTATCATCTGATTATCATGACCAGGATAAGCCCAAATAAGAGGAGCTTCAAATAATATTGCCTTTAGTTAAGCATTAGCCCAAAGCCAGACAGTGATTAACCATTTTGTAATAAGCTCAACATTTTTATGAGTCAGCAGTGAGACAAAGCAATACCTTACTGGCATTATTTTAACAGCTAATGGAAGACTACTTTATTGGAGTTTGTCAGAATATAGCCAATAGTAAACTTTGTACTTCCCTATATGATTTCTATGTAAATATGCTATTAGGTGACTCAACAATTTCCTCTTCTGTATGTAAATGTTTACTCTATATCCATTTCCATTTAAGCTAAATACTGCCATAGAAAAACACAGAGGCCAGAGATATGAAGGTCTGTTTCCTCATCCCTCTTCTTTATTTGCTCACCTTATAGCCTCTTTGCATCACCCTATAATAAGACTCCTCCAATCAGCTGCTGTGGTTATCAAACTATAACTTTCAATGCACCTTTGTGGTATGACGCAACCTGATCTGGCACACAATAGAAGCAGATATCCTTAAGACATCATAGGAGCCGGCTATGTCAGGGTAATAAATGAGAACAGAC